GTCTGAATGCTCTGAGGTTGCACCACATTTGTCATTAACACTGTCTCATCCAGATGAATCATTCACAACTGGAAATGCTGTAAAAATGGAAATGCAGCTGCTCGTGTAATGTCCTCAAACGCAACATTTTTAGCGTCGTGCCGGTGACGTGGTCTGCCTCACAGCCTGCTGCTTTAATCGAGCATTTGGCCGAACGCTCTGGTAATCTGTGCTTCTAGAGGCAATGCCTTCCGTATGCTGACAGAATATTCCTGTTGAGCGCTGACGGCGAAGTCACGGCCTGCTTCCAACTCTGACGAATGTTTTCTTATTGCTCTTTGCCCACAGAGAAGCTTGTATTCAAAGGAGAGGAGTTATTTCAAGAATGTTTCCTGCAGCTGAATCTGCGTTTATAATCACAGCTCGGGACTGGGTCCTTATTTTTGGTGGCTGCCACAGACATGTGTTGCCTCAGCTTCTATTTCTAAATCAACTCATCCTGAATCAACAAAAATAGAAAATCAAAGCTGTCGGTGGGGCTGGGAAAGTGAAAGGGAAACCTATGTTCTCTTGGCATGGTCCAACATCCCACAATCACAATACCACCAATTAAATCTAATCCATAAATTTGGCCACCCCAGCGCCTTTAAATGGAACCTCTATGGTGGAAGAACAACATTCCAGTTTCATTAGTTTACACTGCTGATATTAATACTATCATTACAGTTGGACATGGTTTATTTTGACTACTATTACCACTAATACAATAATAGACCCTAATAGAGGCTGAGCGAGGGGGGAAACGGGCACAGGATCCACTTGGAGTTATTCCACCCCCAGCAGCTGCAGCAGGGGCCCACAGAGGTCAGACGTACAGTAACACTTGACCTCAGCTCTGTGTGTGTGCGTGAAACAACCATCCCACCCTCCCGCCAGCTCTGGGTCCCTGCAGACCAGCAGAAAGGGCAGTAACCTCTGAAGGCTTTGTTTGGTTGGCCGGAGTCTGAGCATAGGCCCACCATTGTAAGTCTAGGGACTCCTATGCTCGAGCTCTTGTTTTCTTTGGGAAGCAGGAAATTGGATGACTGGCTACCTGCTACAACAACATCCTGTACTTGAGAAGCCGTCTTTTCACCCATACCCACCTATTATTTCCCTTTTCCATCATACGCAAGTGGTCAGCCAGCAAGAGTTTTTTTTTTTCTTCTTCTTCTTCTGCTCCTGGGGGCCCCGTGCGTGGGTTTGTCTAAGTTCCACTCAGGTTGAGATCAAATTGGCCCCATCCAGATGCTTCCGTTGAAAATAGTGTGCCGGGGCCAAATGCTTTTTGGAGCCTGGCTCCACCTTGCCAGGTTAATGGTCCTTTGTGAGCAGACTGGAATGACAGTGATGGTGAATGTTCCCATTCAAACACACAAATCTACTTACAGCTCTGTCAGTGCTTGTCAGGTCACGTCAGACCAATCAGAGTGATCTGCGTGGGTCTGCAGGAGAACGCTCGCCATTAGGAAAACATTCTTATGGATTACGCCACTACAGACAGGATCTAGAGGGGCGTTGATGAGAGCTGATTCTGATCTGACCTCTGGGATATCCGACCTCCATGTGAGATATTAATGAAGATAATCATGGCATCATCGGAAGGGATTTTGTGTTAACTTTGCTCTGTCGCTGGAGCTCTTACTGAACACCCATTTTACACATTAAGACTGCGTAATCCCTCCTGATAAGATTTTGTCGCTGCGACCCCCAGACAGGAAGATTTCACTTAAAGATATACTGTGCAGGATTTTTCTAAAAAAAAAAAAAAAAAAACACCACAATGTGTAGACTCATAAAAAAAAAAAAAAAAAAAAAAATTCAACAATTTCTACAATCAGGTTTCCACCTCACCATCTGCCTCGCCAATATCCCATCTCCAACAAGATCACAGCTTTTGCGTGGGAAGTGACGAATGCGTCTTTAAGGCCTCGTTTTGTGCATAAACCCAACAGCGTGTGCATAAAGTAAAGAGAGTTGCCTATTTACATATCCAGAAGATACAGAGCAACATTAGCATTAATTTAGAATTGTGTTCCTAGTCACCTGATGAATTTAAGTCCAGTATTTACTCTCTTTTAGCTCTGTTTTTGGTCTCCACCAGAGGGTTTTCCTCCCATTTCCTGAGGGAAATATGCGTCTCTTTAGCCGCTAAATGCTCCACTACAGCCCCGTTTCCATCAAACACTTTCAGTATGGTACCTTTGGAACCAACAGTAACCCTTCAGACATGGTACCTAGACGCTGGTGTTTCCGCTGCAAACAGTCCTTTTAAATGTGGGCGGGGTTCTTGTCACTCACTGCTCCGTCCAGCTCTCACTGTATTTCCTCCTTTATCAGTCTGCACCTGGTTTATTATCCACAGAACGAGGCTGCACGCTGACATTTTCAGTCTCTCTCCATGGGGTATTTAAAAATAGCAGGTTTGTGCATTTAGTCCTTCTCAGGCAAGCTCAGGGGTTTAGTGTTGCTGTAGCCCACAGGAACGACGCTCCACCATGCTTTTTTTTTTTCCCGAATGAGGATTAGAATATATGCAGTTCACATAACCTGGTCAAAATTTTTAAACGTTTTAAGATCCACTCATTACTTAAAAGTGTCTGTCATCCAATAGAGACAATAAAAACTAAAGTGTTGGTCAAAGTTGTCACAGTGAAATTTAAGGTGTGTTGATGGATTCACGTTTTCACCTCATGCACTGAGTAACATTAAAAGTTAACGCTCCACCTTAAAAGTTGCCGTCAGTTATTTTTTTTCTCACAACAGCTGCTGCAAGAGCAAGAAAACATCCTTTATTTTTATAATTATAGTTTACTTATTTATGTAAAAGCTCTGAGCAGAGTGACCGTCCTCTACTGACCAATCAGACTGCAGTGTTCACAGCTCCACCTTTAAGTACCAGATCTGTGTGCTAGGTACCCCAACAGAGGGGGGACCAAACATGGGGACGGTACAGAACGGTTCCATTGGTACCATCCACAACTTTTCACAGTGGAAACAGAAAAAAAAGTGTACCGAACTGAACCGTACCATACTGCTTGGTGCAAACAGGGCTTTATGGTCATCAGTTTGTCCCTAGCTGTGTCTGTGTGCTGTTTGCTGCTGAGCATGTTTTGTACATTGGGTTCATCAGAGCTTTTTCCCTGAAACCAGCTGTCTGCTTCTGCTAAAAACAAACACAGTGCTCACGTCCCTGGGCTCTCTATGGTCCCACAGAAGGTTTATCAAATGGTGTTAAGGAGAGTCTAGGGCCTAAAAAATTAAAGGATATCAGTGTAAACAGACCGAAATAAACACAGAAAAAAAAGGTTATAAAATGTCTGGAAAACTGTGCAGCATTATTCAAGTGCCTTATTTCCATTTGTAGGCTCATGAAAATCCACACACTATAGTCACTAGATTAAACACTTAAATGAATGATGATGTATGATTAATACATACATATGTAAGCACTAAGCTCTTTTCTGATGCTGCTAATAATGTCCTGCTAGTGTTGCTATGTTGTTCTATATGGAAATATGTCACTTCTGCCTGTTGTGCTTTTAGATAATGTATGTCCTTTTATATTGCATCAATTTTACCACAAGTTTCATCACCGACTCACACATTTGATGATCATTATATTCTTGTGACTTAAAAAAATCATGTTGAAATCATTTTTTGTTGATGTGTTCAAAGTCTTTTAAACTGTGTGCACTATTTCTTTTTCTTTTTGTGTCATTTTCAATTGTTTTTGTTTGTTTGTTTATAGTGCTTTGTTGTATTTTAGGTTGCCTTGTGTAACATCTTGGCCAAGGGACCACAGATGAAAAACAGCCTTTTGGCTAATTCTGGCATTTTAATACCAATTATCAATAATCAATTTGCACCATCTCTTTTTAAATAACTAAACTGAAAACTAAAAGGTTGTCAATTTAAAGGTCGAGCAAGTTAGCACAACTTTTCCTTTAATTATGCCTACAAAGCTGATTGGCTGGTTGCTTAACCAATCAGGGAACTAGCTACATAGAAGTATAACACCAGACCGGTGCAAAACAAAGATGCAACTATTAATCGTTAAGTTAAATGGTAAATGGACTATTCTTACGTCCGCTTTTACATCTGGAACCTCCTGCCTACAACGGGCTTGAGACGCGCCCTGGTAGAGGACTTGGCTCAGATTCTGGGAGTTATTCTCTTATCCTGAAGCCTCCTTAAGGAATCTGATGCCATTTGATTCGGAGGTGGGAACCACTTGCGACTAGACTTGCACCGATTTATCGCCAGTGCTTGGAATCGGGCCGGTTTTCACGTGATCAGCCATGACCTGCGACCGGCCGGTCAGTCTAAGATATGCCGATTTAAAATGCCGGTCAAATTCAAATTCAAGGGAAAATGTTTCTTAACCTGTGTCACTGTTTTTGTTTGTTTGTTTGAGATGATTATTGAAAGCTGGTTGTATCTTGGTTAAAATGTTTTAATAAAGCAAAGACAGAAAATATTGCAGTATATTGTGTGCTGTAAAGTGGTTTGGAAAAAAAAGGAAATCGGAATCAGCCATCCAAACACTCTGCAAAATTGGTATCAGCCCAAAAAATTGCAATCGGTGCAAGTATACTTGCGACCCTATGCCTTTGCTGATGTTGACCCCAGCATTCAAACCCTGAACCCTCCACATGGAAGACGAGTGCTCTAACCACTACACTACACGTCACAATCATCCATTCACACACAGGTGGCCGAGCCTGTACAAGGTGCCACCTGCTACTCAGTAACCATTCACACGCTCTCACACACTGATGGAACAGCCATCAGGAGCATTTTTGGGGTTCAGTAACTTGCCCAAGAATACTTTGATGTGGACTGGAGGAGCTGGGGATTGAACCTGCCCTACCTCTGAACAACAGCTACTGTCAATTATTAAATTAATTGTAAACAAAAAAATCAAAATTAATTTCTGCTTTTTAAATGTGAGTATTTCTTTTTTTTTTTTTACTCCTCTGTAACAGTAAACTGAATATCTTTAGGATGTGAACTAAACAAGAGATTTGAGGACGTCATATTGAGCATTGGAAAACACTGACATTTTTCAACATTTTGTTTTTACATTTTATCAACCAAACAACTAATTTATTAATTGAGGTATTAATCAACAGATTATTCAAAAATGAAAATAACCATTACTTGCAGCCCTTGTCAGAATACTCTAAAAAACGTGGGATATGGAAGGCATATCTCTGGAACCTGACAGAAATACTGACATGCACGTACACAAACACACTCACACAAATTATTGCCTATGATGTCAGCTGCCAACATCAGAAACAAATGGGAGAAAACTTCTCCTCAGTCATTTTCTGAACCATTGTATTGTCTGACCAAAGGAGCGACACGTGATGAAACCATCGGCCAAGAATACAGACACAGTTCCTACCGTCCAATCATAACTCATTTGTTGCGGGTGGAAGAAATTATCAAGATATTTTTTCCCATTTTGCAGCAGATGATTTATTCTATTTGCAGAAACAGGCAACATCTGTGTTTTATCAATAACATCCAACGTGTATAAAAAAGAATAGTAAAAAAAAAAAGCTTGACAGATTAAAAAAAACAAAACAAAACTATATTCTAGGAAAAAGAAACTGACAAAATGAAAAAAAAAATCATCTGATTCGGAGGCACTTATGGCTTGGCAACACTTGTGCCGTCTGAGTTTTCCCAGGTGGTTGTAGTCAAGCGTCAAAGGCCATGATTACAATACTGGAACCAACGGGGATGCTCTCAAACACAATCACATCACGGTCTGATATGTCATCACTGGCCTCAGAGCTTCTGTCTGGACTCTGTCACTGAAATCCAGTGACCATAAGAATCATCTCTAATATTTAATGCAACAAGAGGCGGCCTCTGGACCAGAGTACTTATCAAGATCAAAATGCAGTTCATGGTGGACGTAAATCAACTATTTACAACAACATAGGAGATGCTCGCTGATTAAAAAGAGTCTTGTTTGATTCCTGCAGCTTTCCAGAGAAATGAAGGTTGCATTGTGCTGCGTCGGCGTCCAGTCGACTCCCAGTCTCTCTTTTCATATGCCAGCCGCCTTCTGTTCATTCAGAGCTGGGCGAGGCAGCCGAATCTATGTCGTCATTTTCCAGGTCGTTGGGTGAAGACGACTGTCCTCCCTTCACTCTCTTCCACTTCATCCTCCTGTTCTGGAACCAAACTTTCACCTGTTGGACAGAAATAAAGCAAATCATTCATTATAAGTGGCATTAAATTAAGAATGTACAAATATTGTTGAGGTAAATTTGCTCCAACAAATTGCCTCTTGGTGTCCTCCCTAAATGCTGACAATACACTAGAGGACTTTTATAAGACTTTTAAAGTCTGGCACCCCCAAACATTTGAAGACAATATGAGTTTTTAGTCACACGATAACATTTTGCAAACACTGGGGATCTTGCAGGGTCACTGTTTGACTATTCCCAAGACTATAACCAGATTCCTTTTGAGATTATTTCCCATCCTGCTCCTGGTGGAAAATATCACACCAAACTCCCTTTAAGGAATATGACATATTAACGATTCCTTACGTGTCCACAAAAATACATAACTCTAGAAACACAAGATAAAAAAGCATCATCGTCCGCATAAAATTTTTTGGAATAGGTTTGATTTTCTGCGTTTTTCGCATCCATCAGAGCCTTTAGAGACGTTTGACCAAGAGTCTGTAAAGAAAATGTGGCGGTAGGACACATCTGCAACAAGACATAATTTCATAACTCAGCAAGATTTCTGTGCGTGACGATTTTTTTGAATGGCGAATTAAAAAAGCACATCCAGGAAAAAAACTTTCTCACTAAAATAAGTGCTGGTTGGTTGGTCAGATATGCACTGAATTAAACACACTCTGTTCACTCCAAGACTCCACCAGTTTCTCCTTGTCCACAGCGAGAACCGAGAGAACCAAGACTTGTTCACATTCTTGCTTCTCCCCAGAGTCCCCTCCACGTTTACTGTCTACCTGGTTTGCTGCTTCCTGTTTGGTGCCGGAGAGAGCACAGCTATTGGGTGTGGACAATGTTCATGCACTGAACATTAGTGGGTGCATGAGCCAAGACTGAAAACTAACGATTATATTAAACACCCATTAAACACGGGTTTTGGCAATCAAAAAAAATGTATCTACTGATTTATAGACGTGTCTTTCCCAGTGTAAGTCTATGGGGAAAAAGTCTTTTTACAGCCATTGGCATCATGCAGCAGACTTGGGAGCTGTGATTCCACTGTTTGGCCACTATGAAATTTTGTCGGACTGTCAAAGTAACTAACTTAAGACGGCTTTGACCACCTTGTGCCAAACAATCAAGATCACAGGGGCGCACCAAGTATGGTAAAACTGCGACAGAATTATAGCTCGAAAAGTCATTTGGTGTGAGGCCAGCATAAGATAATGTTGTCAAATAATTTACAGGTGGATCAACACCGTTGATCGTAAATTATTTTCTAAGCAAACTGCCAAAAATCTCAACACAACACTGTCAATTTTGCCGTGCAGTAGGCTTTTGTTTTTTATTTAGATTTTTACTTCTATTCTAGTTTTATATACATCTAATCATTCATTTTTGTTTTCTCTATTTATTGGTATTTCTTTCTGTCTTTGTGCTGCTGCAACAATCAAATTTCCTCCCCAAGGATCAATAAACGTTTTTTTAATCTCATAAAATATCCTAAAAACCGTGAAAACAAATCACATTTGTTCAGAATCCAATTTTTTTCGAATCAAATGGATTGTTTTGTCTTATTTTCTACCATAAAAATCTAGTAAGCAAAGTATTTTAGAAGCAAGAACCTTTATTGATCCCTGGGGAGGAAATTTAATTGTTGCAGGAGCACAAAGACAGAAATAAGCACAGATAAATAGAGAAAGCAAAAGAAAAATTAATAATTAGATGTATATTGGAATAGAATAAGAATAGAAGTAAAAATATAAACAATAAAAAAGCAATCAAAGACAAGTGCAAGGCCAAACTGAGAGTGGTGTGATGTGATGAGTGGCAGCAAAGTCAGCAGCAAGGTAAAATGTATATGTACACCAAAACATTGGGCAACTACTGCAGCCCTACTTTATACAACAATTAATATGACCATGTCAGTGCTCAGCATGAGGAGTTAAAACTATCTGTAACTTTCACACAGTTTTTGTGCAGATTTTTTTTCACCAGATTTGAACCTGTAACAGGATCACTGTGGCTTTTCTTTCCATTCGGCAATTTTTAGCTAAATTTACAACATGGTCAGCAGAAAAATAGACAAATAATCCCCCACAAATCTCCCAGCGCTGCATATAAATGGGCTCAGTTTGCACTGGCCTTGCAACGAGCATTTATTGTCAGAACAAAGTGTTCAGTTCTGGCTCAGAAACCCTCTGCGAATGCAGGCAGAGAGTATCGTATAGACGGCGGGTCGAAAGAGTCAACGATCAGGATGTCGGCCTACACAGGATGTGAGTTTACAGCGTGGATGCTGCTCATCTGTGTCACTGTTCTGAATGATATCATGCTTCGACTGTGCGGCCAAGAACAGCAGCAGAAACACACCTCCTGAAAATTACAGGGAAAATACGGCAGATAAACATTAGAGGGGTGAACACTTGTTAACCGTGACTGAGAACATTCACTCAGGATTTTATAAACTCATAAAATATAGTCACTGTGGTTTATAACACTCGGACAAGCCAGTCAAAATAAATATGATACATTAATTCAACACGGACACGAGGCTCCATGTCGAACTAAATGTGAAGCTTGAGTCATAGTTAAACCATTCCTTAAAAAGCAGAAGGAGAAATGTAAATGTTCTTAAAGTATGAGGATCGTATTTTTCTATATTGTCATTACTGTCGACAAAACCTACGAAAAGACAGAAATCAACAGTCTGACTTCTGACTGCCTCACACTCAATGTATTCAACATTCCTGAACACTTAAATCTTGAACAATGGGTCACTAATACTTGATTTATTTTTAATAGAAGTTATTTTCTAGAACAGCTGGGCTCTGTAGATTTTAGCAAATGTTACTATAACAGCAGTAAATAATGTCTTTGTTGTAGGCATGTCACTGTACCAGAAATTTGGCAGTCAATACTAATACCAGTAAAATTCTACGATTCACAAAACCCATTTTGATACAACGGTTAAAAAACAAAAACAAAACCATAACAAAACCATAAATCCATTGTACTTAAACATTCACTAATAACTACCAGGTCTATTTAAATGTTGTTATTAATCCTTGATGATCAGCCTCAGGCACAAAGTAAAGTCTGTGTGGGTTCATGAGACTTTGTGGGCGAGGAAACATATTCATATATAGCCTACAGTATAATATTTCTCTTCCATTGTTGTTGTTGGTCTTTCATGCTGGTAGGCGTTCTTCTTCATTTGGCATTTAAAGGCAGACTAGAACACTTGTAGGCATAACGGTGGAGATTCTGTCATCCATCCATTCATTCATTCATTTTCCGTAACCACTTATCCTGCTGGGAGTCACGGAGGGCTGCAGCCTATTCCAGCTGACACTGGGCGAGAGGCAGGGTTCACCCTGGACAGGTCACCAGACTATCACAGGGCTGACACTTAAGCCCCTTTTACACTGCCAGATTTTCGGCGAGTGTTGGGCCATTTTGCCGGCAAGCTGCGAGCGTTTAGACACACAGAGCTGGATCGGCGAGTTGATCCGAGGTGCCCAATTTTCCGCCTCCTAGGGTAGTCATATTGGTGGAACCTTTTTGGTTTAAAAAGAACGAGGCGCCCTTCCGCCACGGGAGGGGCTGTTAGAGACTTGTGGGAGGAGCTGTTGATGACACCACACGTGCGACCCACTGGCGGTGGATAAACAGGAAACAGCTGATAGCAGGAATTAGCGAGCAGCTAGTAGCAAGAGGGAAACACAAACCTGACAGACACTGTAAAGATGAGCAACTGGGGAGACAAGGAATTGCGCGCCCTCCTTGCCCTCGCAAACAAAGAGGCCATTTACTGTCAGGTGACGGGGACGGTGAAAAATGGGCAAACTTACGACAGAATTGCCAAAGGACTTCCTAGCCCCGGTTTCCCTCCCACGTCACTGTTTAAGTAACACGCTGAGCTACAAGTTTTGTTACTTGCTCACGCCCCCAATTGCCCCGAAAAAGGCGCATTCTGTATAAACAAAAGTAGGCAGGTGGCATTTTGCTGCACTCCCCGATTTTGTTTTTATACTGCCAATGCTGAAAAAAGACTGATTGGGCTTTCCTGCAAATTTGCACAATTCCTATTTCCTATTCCTAAAAGGGCAATAGAGACAGACAACCATTCACACTCACATTCACACCTACGGACAATTTAGAGTCACCAATTAACCTGCATGTCTTTGGACTGTGGGAGGAAGATGGAGTATCTGGAGGAAACCAACGCTGACACGGGGAGAACATGCAAACTCCGACGATCTTAAAACGACAACAAATTAGACACATCATAAGAACCGATACTTGGGTACCAACTTGATGCCAAAATTCTGGAAATGTCCCGAAATTAATTTTTCTCATGTCCTGTAGGTACTTGGGATTCTTCCAGACCTGATGGGGCAGCAGTTACGCTTACAAGTAATCTTAAATGCTACATCTTAGGCAACTGGACTTGAGTTTCTAGAAGACATTTCAGGTGAAGAATTCCCAGTACCTACAGAATGCAAGAAAAAAGGAATCTGGCACGTTTTCAGAATTTTGGCATTTTTTTAGAGTCATGATGTCCACCGGATGGCAACGACAGGTTAAAAACGGACATCATACAAAGTGTTAAACTTAAATCAAACTTTGAGATGACTGTAGCAGCTTGAGGAATAAGAATTTCGGGTCAAGGAAGTTTTGGGTGACCTCCGCACATCCCACTCATCACCCCACCCTGACTCTGGGACTCAAATGAATCTGTTCCCACATCCTGCAGCCTCTTCGGCTCCGAGTTCTCCTGCTCATCGAGGCTGATTGAAAGGACGGCCAAACGCCAAAGCATGTAGGATGAGTTGGAAAAGGCCGTCGAGTTGCAGTGGGAGCTCTGAGTGAAGATGGAACCCGGCTGTGTGAGTGCGTCTGTCTCTACACGTGTGTGTGTGTGTTCCAGAGGTCTGTGAAATAGATTTAAGCAGCAGACGGCAGTATGTGTGGTCACTGTGGCACCGTGGCCTCATTAGGTGGAGCTGGGACACCGCGCCTGACAGGCAGACTGCTGGGGTTTGATCCAGCAGCATCGACACATGTTCGCCCGATTTCATCCCGTCTGGAGCTGCCGCCCACTCATTAAAGCTGCGTGACATTCTGCTGCAACCACAGGATGACAAGTACCGTGGAAAAAAACTGTTCATTATAATCTAAATGCATCTATGTGTGTGCATTATTATTATTATATGGTGGAGGGAGATTTAGAATTCTGCTGATGCTGTCCACTTAAATACGTGATGATCGGACCTTGTTGGAAGATTTATATGTTGTATTTATTAAGATGTTTTTTGTCCCTGAAAATTAAGCTGACTGATTTTTTGTTGGGTTTTTTTGCTGACAATTTCATAGGGAATTTTACCTCTGGAGAAAACTCATGGAAGATGATCATTCTGCACTCAAGGAAAAACTAAACATTTAATTTTAGAGACACATTTCTTACCATATCTTTTAGTATCTTTAACATAAACCTTTCTACTAGATTTTGTATTTTTTGGCAGTGATTCAGACACTGTTCCCCCAGTTTAAGGCATGTACATTTAAAAGTTTTTAAGACTTCTTCAAAGCCACTCAAAATGATATGTAGACCAAGTTTTCAACAAGAGAAGACAAAAAAATGTTGCTCAGTGTTTCTCACTGTGCATGTCGGATTCCACTGCTTCAATTCCCATCATCCAGAAATTGAAAAACCTTTTGCATAAAATACATCAAGCCTCATATGCATTGCCTTGTACCGGTTTCAGGTTAAACAACCAATTTAAACTGAATCTGCCGTTCACTGTGTCATCCAGGGAACAGTGACAGCGAGCTAACAGACAGTGGATCGTCTGCTCTGAGCATCCCAGCTGGAAACAAAATATGAGTGTTGTTGGTTTCACTGTCCTGCATGATGTTAATGCGATTTTTTTTTTTTTTTAAATAAAAAAAGATGTTACCAATTATTATGAGATTTTACAATCCAATACCAAAAAAATAAAAACATAAATAAAAATACAACAAAAATAAATACATTTTAAAAAATTAAATAACATAAAATAAAATCCTACTTCTCATGTCTTAGCAGTTTTAAGACATTTAAAAGGCTGGTTCAAGACCTTTTCACACCACTTAAGGCCTTAATGTTACATCAATAAATTCACTGCCTTTAAAGGATTCTCAATTCTCGAACGAAAAGTTCAAACTCTCATGTGACTGAGATCTGAATATTGAGTAATATGGAGTGATAGTAATCTAGTTATTATCCAATGTGAGGGAGAGGTGGTGTACCTGTCTCTCTGTGAGGTCCAGGTTGACGGCGATCTCGTAGCGGCGGAGCCTGGTCAGGTAGTTGTGGTGGGTGAACTCAGCCTCCAGCTCCCTCAGCTGCTCCTTGGTGAACGCTGTGCGCTCTTTCCGGGCCTTACAGCTGGAGTCCACCTTAAAACTGGACTCCTGGATATCTGGAGGGAGATGGAAAGGACATAAATTTGGTCCAGGTTGAGGTTTGTGTTTGCTACAAAAAATATATTCTTAGCATTACTTTAGAGAGCATACTTTTCACACCACGTTTGTTTTAAATAGGGAGAAAAATAAAATGTTTCTAAAGGTAGATACGACACATTTTGATCCTGGTTAACAAGTTCTCCTTGACTCTTTCTGTTAAAGGGAGCCTGTTTGTCTCTCATTGTGATTCGACCACTTGACAAACACGCCCTCTATTTTCACTTTAGTCACAGCTAATCTGATCTGAATTAGCTCTCCAGTCACTTTGCGACCAGCCTCCAGCTGACTATTAAACAGACCTTAAGGACCTCTCCAACCAACAAACCACAACTCCAAAGACCCTTTAGTGGGAGGCCCCTCATATAGTAAACACCAAAAGCAGCACTTTAAAAAGAGACCACCCTGACCTGAGCTCTTGAGTCCTGTTCACCTGCAGCGTGTCTGCAGCCAGTACTCATGCACACTTCATTTCTACACTAGTGTGCATGTATTTTCAGATTTGTTTGTTTACACATTGATGCGTTTGAAACACATTCACTCATGGCGTGTGTGACAGCAGGACGGCGCAGGGCAGGGCCCACCAAACCAGCCACAGAGGGACTGAGTTAGCAGAGGAATGCAGCGGAACATCGTTAAAGCCTCTAACAAAAGAACAAAGGTGCGGATGTGTCCAGGTCTGACTGCTGCGTGGGTGTGTGTGTGTCCCTACGGAGCACTCGGAGGGAGGGGGATTCACATTAACTCATCTCAACATGACAGCAAATACATCAGGAAACAGCCGGAGATATCTCTATGAATGTAGCGGTTAGTTGTGAGGGGCGAAAATCAATGGTTGTCCAAACTTTTGTGCTGAGATTTATAGAACTTCCTGTCTTCATATTTCCGAGGAAATGGATGAATTCTAAACCTCATTTAGCAGGATAAATAAAAAGAAGGCTGGTTGATTTAACTTTCAGTAAAACCTCTCTGGTGTATTAAAGGGAGAGAGTTTGGGGTAATAATTGAGCATTGGTAGCAACACTAGCAGCTGATGTAATCTCTAGAAAATGGTTCTAATTTGTCAAAGTGAGAAGTTTTGCTCGCTGCTTGCCAGAGAAGCGGGCCAGAAAGTGAAATGGTCTGTTGTACCTGGGCCAGATGAGACTGGGCAGACCAGGACATGTGCGTGTGTGTGCATGTGTGTACAAGTGTGCTGGATGCTAAAAAACCTTCTTATTGTTGTTGAAGTGTCATTAATGACGCGCTGCCCTGAGTGCGCCGACACTGCCCGGTCGCGTCAGCTCTGGTCTGGAGCTGTGTCAAGCAGGTTTGGTTAGACTGAACACCTGGCAGAGGCACACACACACACACTGGTTCTCACTAAACAGGCCCCCAATAAATATCCTGCACAGCCAGAGACCGTAAACTTGCAGGGGGAAGGCTTCTGCACCCAGCAGGGTCCCACAGACAAACAGCATTTGGTGCCTTTTTGGGTGGATGGTGCAGCAGCAGTTTGTCTTCATCAGGACTGAATTAAAGCCGCTGTAAATTTTGTGATTGTTTTAAATCAGAAACCCCAGGTGAAAATTACAGGTCTGACAGATCGCATAATTTGTGGGTGTAAAAGTAAGGGCCAGGACTTCACTATGAGTTAGGATGTTTTATCGGTAAAACTTTTATTCAAACCTCCTTATCCATGATTTGTGAGCTGTGATTAATTAATAAATGGGCTTTAACCATTGGTGTAGATTTTAGGAGGGCGGCAGGGGGTACGTCCCCCCTTAATAAAAAACATGAACCTAGCAGAGTACTTTTATTTTGATAAAATTAAAGACATTCACACCTAAAATTGATGCATAAAAATTTGCCAGAATGCAAGAAATTAAATCAAATTAAACTGCTTGATACTAAAAAGACCCCCAATCCATTTCCTATATGTCCCCACAGTGTTACACTGCAACACATTATAAAGCATGTGTCAGCAGGTATATGCATATAGAAAAGAATAGAGAGAACTCATCCCGAAAGGGTCTCATCTTTTTAGATTATCCATCCCTGGTGCTTCCTAATGTGTTTATTATGAATATATAATTTTACCTGTATTTATATTTAATTACTGTTGTTGTCATCATTATTGTTTTCTTTCCACTGTTATCTTTTATTATGTACTGACTGTCTTAGCTGGTTTTGTCAAGTGTCCGTGGGTGATTTAAAAGATTCATAATATTATTATAAAAGGATATTTTGAAGTGTTTATTAATGTGTACAGAAGGGTCACGTATGCTTGACAACATATATTATATATAATCAATTGTCCGCTTTTGAACACTTTTAAATCCATCTTTGAATTATCTGTGCTTGTGTACAAACGGTTAATAAATGCTTAATAACATACTGTTGGGATTTGTTTATGTGTGTATTCATGCAGCTAATATTATTATACATTAATCAAGTGTTTATACACAGTTATGGATGCTTTGTCAGGGGAGTTATAATTTGTGATAAATTTATTAATAAATTATTAAGATTATAGGCAGCAAAAATAATCTGTATTTAACAAAAAAATCCTTGTTTTTGATTACACTGTGTCATTAACAATTTATTAAGTTATATAGTCTGCTTGTAAATGTTCGGTAGTAGAGGTGGGAGCCACCAGAGGCCAAACGATACGATATTATCACGATACTTCAGTCACGATACAATATTACTGTGATTTTAAAAGTTTGGCGATATGCTGAGTATTGCGATTTATTACCTTACCACTTAATACCTTCAAATTATGTCCCCAAAAGAAAACTTTGTCGACTTCTGTTTGTTCATCACACTTTTTATTGCAGCAACATGTGTGACTGTAAAAGTGACTAATTTTATTATTCAAGTAGGCCTCCAAAAGTTTAACTCATATTTGTATTATTTATGTGATTAAAATATGCCATGTATCGATACAATGTTGGCACACAAAATATAGCAATGCAATGCTGTATCGATTTTTAGCAAATGGGCAGTGTACTCAACTGTGGGCCAAATCTGGGCCATGATAAGGTGACTAGAGGTCTGCTGACCATTTTGCAATTTACAATGATTCCTGCTCCTTTTCAGTCATGTAATGTATATTATTATTTTTTGATTGTGACTTTGCTGTACGTGGACATGAGTGGAACAAATAAATGAAATGAAAAATAAAATGATTAAAACTGGGAATTTTTGGGGACTTCAAATGTAAATAAGCTGCAAAAGTGAATTAAAAAAGCATGAAAATGTGAGTTTGTTCATAAAAAAGTGCCAATAGTAGTAGTATAATTTATTAATTAATGTTTGCTTATTAACTGGCTCCTGGCCTCCTGTCATTTTGCAACAGTGGCCCCTGGGCAAAGCAAGTTGAGTATCACTGTGGTAGAGGGTTAAAATGAAGTGTAACTGTTTGATTTTATGATAAAACAGAACTTTTTTCCAAGTTGATATAAATTGAGAACAAACACTTAATTTATCAGAACCTATACACGATCAATAATAGCAATAAAAATAGTAATAATGTTAGATTTTCTTACATTAGCTTGTTTATTTGCTGTTTTATAGACAGAATTATTAGTCAAACTTTGGATTAAAGTTGATGTCAGACTCAGTTTAAGGTTCAGAAACACTTGAGCAGCGCCACATCTCCATATCCGTATAAATACACAAGCAGACTGTACAGCAGCTCCGTCTGTACTGCGAAAGCCTTCAGGGCATTTTCCTAATATATGCTCCTCTACCAGCTCGTCAATACAAGACTGACTGAAAGGCTCTTTTCTGAAACCAAGAACTGATGTAGTGGTCAGACATGTTGCACGCACTCAGTGGGAGATTGTGTTACGGCTTAACGACAGGAAAATGTCAATGGATAAGAATGTAAAAAGTGGGCTCACAGGCAAAGTGATTTTACCAGACGTGGTCTGGCATGTTTTCAGTATAGTGAGTGGAGGTTACAATAAGGTAAGAAGGGGAGGGGGTCTGTACTCCCCCCACCATCCCCTTCAATTAGGCTGCTGCAGACATTTTAGTCTTGTAGGTTTTCCAGATAATTACCCGTGCTCTTTATATATATCGCATTGGTTATGTTTGGACGAAAAAGATGATCATGATGATGCACTTGATGACAAGATCTGAAGTGTTGCTGTCTGATGGAGCAAACTCCACCCATCTGGATTAAAGTAAACATTCAGATTAAGCCACACTACAATCAAATCAAATCCAAAAAAAAAAAAATCTTTCAAAGTTTCGCTGGAAGCTACACGACAGTACAAATATCCAGTATTTATTTCTTATTAGGTGCAGAGGTCTCATTGCATAAATCATCATCTTTGTGAGGGAAACATTTTTTCCCGAGTTTAGAAAAACAGTTTTCACAGATGAAATGTGAACGTTCCAGATGTGCTGGACATGGCTTTATTTTCATTCTGCACATTAAAACTTTTACACCTTTAGATTCAGTTTAAATATAAACATTGACTTAGAGTCTGTCGCCCTCGTTGTTACGTGTGAAACTTTTAGGAATTAGTTCGTCATGGGTATCAGTTACTGTTGCTTCCCATTAGCAAGTGTGAAATATGATAGGGGAGAATAAAAAAGCAGTATAATCCAAAAGCATACACTGATTGTATTTCAATGCTTCCAACACGACCCTGAGCATATATAAGGATATGTGAGGATACATGAACTCATTTTTTTGTGGCAAAAAGTTCTTTTCACAGAGGCAATGCTGGAAACAGAATCTTATTTTGGCTCACTGGTGTTTGGTGAAGCAGCTGAAAAGTAGTTTTACATGATCACTCCTTTTCTCTTTGACAATTTTAAGTAAAAAAGTTGTGAATTTACCAACATTTTTTCCTGATTCACAAAAAAAAACTGCAGCAGGATTGTGCACTAATTTCACTTTAGAGACTTCTATCTACAATTAACAATAATCAAAACCACTCTGAAGCACCTGTGATGCCTTAAAACCACTTTTCCTCCACTGAAGCCTGATGTCATTTTTTTAGCATCGTCCCGAATGCCGCCGCTACTGTTATAAAACAATGGTCTATTTCCAACGGATACAGGAGCGCAATCAAACGCTCACATGTCCCATTAATCATTCCAGCCTTTTGAACAATCAGAGGATGCAACTGCTACTTCAAGTTTGTCTTGAACACAAAAGTCTTGTCACCTACTCACCTTTCACATAGCAATCTGGTGAGCGTGCTGCGGTAAGATGTGGTGAGGAAATAAGAGGGAGAAATTGTGTCAGTGCCAGCTGTGATACAAGGCACGGAAGAAATTCTTAACCTTGACATACTTGAGCTTTAAATGGAGCAACAATGGCACCTGTGTGCAGAGGGCTGGCAGGAAAAATATGGGTTTACTATCGACTTTGAAGAGTTTTCCCTGGCGTATTCCCATCCTCATCTTTTCTTTGGATTTTCCCCACCATATGCACCAGTGTACGGCAGGAAAACAGAAATGCGTACTATCATTTTTAATACTCCCATATGTCTATTTTATGACTAGAACTTTTCCTTTTCTGAGCCTCCCGTAATGAGTTTTTGGATGCTCTTCTTCCCCTATAAAACCAGCACACCCCAGCTGACTCCCACCCTGACTCACCTGTGACATCTCTCTTCCTCTTATTGGAGCTCTTCTTGTCCGAGTCGGCCGACGCCACGCTCTGAGGTGAGTATTCTCCCTCCAGGCACCCTGGCACGGCCCCTGGAAGCCTGTCTCCCCCTACACTGTCCAGCTCAGGCCCTGCGCCACCGCCTACCGCTACAGGGGCAACGACAGGCGGGCAGGCCTCAGGCGCTCTCACCCGCGTCTCACAGGGGTTGAACTGCCAGTCGGCTCTCTGGTAACCCCCCTGGCTCTCTTGGTACAGTCTGTCGTCGCGGGGGAAGGCTGCGTGTGGCGCGGTCGGCACCAGGCAGGAGCTGGAGAAGTCTGTGTAGGCCAGGAAGTCGGGTTTCTGGTGGAGGGAGAACGGGGCCTGCTGGTAGGGCGATTGCAGGTTGGCTCCCGGGACCCCTGAGTGAGGGTTCCTCATGCAGCCCCAGATCGGGCTGCTGGGGTGGGCGCTCCGCATGCAGCTGCTGGCTGGCTGATCCATGGTGAGTAAAAACACTTCACACAATCTTGATTAATGTCTGATTACGAGTCTTTTCCTTGCAGAGGAGCTGGAAACCCCCCTCAGAAAGTCAGTTAGGTCTGGAAATCTGTCATCCACTGCAGCTGACTAAATGCACATCATCGTCTCACTGCATCCACCTCAGGAATACTCACTTCTGTCAGAGGCTGTTGACTCTTCCACAGTCCCCCCAAAACGCGTGAGGATAGAAGCCTTCCTGTGACGGCGTGTTTCCCTTTCTCTCTGGGAGTGTGTGTGACGTCCTTTGTAGCCTCTGGTCCTGACACACTCTCACACACTCTCCCTCTATCTTGCTCTCACACACCCTCTCTTCTCCCTGACTGGCTTGTGGCTCGGCGGGAGAGCTGCATCCGCAACTGCATGACTCCCCTCCTCGGGCTGGCTGTTTTCACAACTCTTCTAAGGCATTCTTGACAAGTGAGCCCTCCTCCTTTTTAAACATATAGGTGGGAAAGAGTGGCAAGTTTATGGAGTGTAACGTGAGATTGCAGAGGAGGAGCCCTGCCGGCCACATGTTGGTAGTACCCTCCAACCAACCCTGCCTCATCAACTATTAATCACGGGGGAAATTTTATATGCACATCTAATGGGCTTTCCAGACGTGGGGCTTTTTAAAGGAACACTGTCTGTAAAATATAAAGCGAGCACCCACCCACATGAGAGCTGGGGACCCCGACTTATTTCAGCTCCTTAGCGCTTTCTGACACCCAATTTAGTTCCTTTTTTTGACACCCTTTAGAGGAAAGTTAACCCTAACCCTTTCCCGCCGCACCCCTGATCCCCGCCCGTCCTCTCCAATCTGAAAACTCCTTTTTTCTTTCCCCGTTTTTATGACTCTGTGTGTGTGTGTGAACGCTGCACACCCAAATCCACCTGGCGGGCTTTAACTTTGAGGTGATAGAGGGACCGGATTTGATATTGGCTGTGCAGGCGCTCACACCTCTTGAGGTTTTCTCACTTTAGTCAAACACAATATGAAATTTCAGAGCCATATTTCAAAAACACAAGCTAATATTTTCTCTTCGCAAACACTGCGCCTGAGGAAATGTGCTATTTCCTTTTATATGTTCCTGCTTATTACATCTCAGATATTAAGCAGCGGGGGCAATAGTGTGTGACAGCGATCGCATGTAGATTAACCACATTTGGATCTACAGAGGTGATTATTCAATTTTCTGATCACTGATTTTTTTAAATCTGTGCAGGCTACTCATGATAGAAGCCACTTCCCCATGAAGTAATGTCTCTAATACCATTAAAACCTTTTTTTGGCTTAACCAGAATTTGGACTCGGTGTCAGCGTATCCGTTACCCAGTAAACCCACTGAACCACATTTTACAGAAATGCAGTTTTTCTTCATACTGCTCATTTTTGTGAGTTGAGGTTTGCCTTCCTCTCGTGTGTCCTCACTTTGCTCCTGACCTCTCAGACAGGAGGGGAGGAGGATCGGACCACCGACGAGAGGAGAAGGAGAGATGGCAAGATTTGGAGATAGAGATCATTAGAGAAGAAAGACGGAGAAATACTGAGATCAAGAGTGCACCTTAAAGAAAAGGAGATCTTGTTTTGTGCCTCTGCTGGTAAAAATTTCATAGCCAGAAACGAGAAATAGCAAATTGCCCTAAAAAAAAAAAGTAGGTACATTTTTAATAATTTTTAATAAAGCAGCACATACAAAGTGCAAAAGGATAAAAGTTTAAAAGAACAAAAGATGTGTTCAAACAGGAGAAAAATAAAACAAAAAGCAGCTTTAATGACCCTGTATCTGACCCTCTTGTGTACACACTGCATTCAGCTGCCACAAAACCATTCAAGAAAAACAGGAGGAAAAAACCCAGAGATAAATAAATAAAAAGATCCAAACATCCACTCCAACACAAGACAAAAGAAGCCAAGAATAAAATCAAATTAAGCTAAAGCACACTGAACTAGGAGTGGACGAAATGAAAGAAAAAAACTCAGAGAGAAGGGAGAGTGTTTGAGGTCACACACTAAAACCTTTCCATTTACCCAGCGAATTGTTGAGCCATGAAGCATCCCCTCGCTTTTACTGGCAGTCTGAGCTCTGGCCGCACCGCAGGGAGCAGAGGTTACACTGCATTTGTGGTCAGAGCAGGGGCCATCTGTGTGTCAGTATAAATTAGAGTGTGTGTCTGTGTGTGTGCTGTGAAAATATACGTCAGTGAGAGTGTGTGTGTGTGTGTGTGCACACGTGTCTCAGGGAAAGAGATAGAGTGTTTGTGGGTATTTCTGTGGATGTAGAAGAAAGTTCCAATCAAGTTTTTGACATTATAAAAGGATAAAGACCAAAGAAAATAAACTAAGGGTCTTCCCAAATATTTGGCTGTAGAGGCACAGTGACGTACTGACTATCAGCAGGGCTGGTTAGTAAACTACTGTAGCTGCCAGCGTAACAGCCAGGCAGAAACAGGCATTATATTCTCAGGACTGTACATTATTTAAATCAGTTAAGAATTGTATTTGCTATGGACAAACATTCTCTGAGCTAACAAGCTTGCTAACAGACCATTAAACTACCTTGGTCACTAACAGGACAATAAGTTCACTCTGTTAATCATACCATTGACGCCTGTCATGACTTTCCATTCCTCTTTAGCGGAGCAGTTTACACTCCAACAGAAGAGGTCAAATAAAAGTTAGCATCAAAGCTAACAAGCTACACTAGCTTCCTCCATTTAGGACTCTGTTTTCTCCATTCTCTAAAGGTCTACAGAGTCATGACGGCTGAGTGTTGCCATTGGCACAAATTGGCTCGTTGAAGTCGAACTTGACGTGAAAGATTTATTCTTTTACTTGCGCCCACAATGAATTCACTGATCACTCAACTGGAATGAATCATGAACTATGTAAAATAATGGACATAGCCATCATTACGTCACCCGTTGGTTTGTGTGCTCACATTTCAAAGCTTCAAGTTTGGCATTTTGGCCGTCACCATCTTGGATTTTTTGAGCCAGTAGTGACCATATTTGAACAAGAGGGTGGAGCTAACCTTAATGCTAGCTACAACTTTGGTTAGCATGGTGCATTTACAGTTCTACCTTAACTGTGACAATACTAATGCTAATTCTTGCTAGCTAAAAAACAGGCTTAAAACCATTTAAACAAAATGTACTTACTTGAAAAAGTGACCATCTGACTTCTTCGAGGGTTTTCCAGGACCATCGAACACGACCGAAATGTTACAGTTAAACGTTCATGAGCTGAAAACACACTGGAATCGCGACAATCTGGGGTTATGCCATGGTTACGTTACCTAACCAATGGCACCCACACTCTTAATTATGTGTAACTTTAAGCCTCAATAAAATGTAAACAGGTGAGTTACATAAAAATTAACCCCCAGTTCAGTTGTCAAGAATGTTAAAATTATCTACAGTGACCAAAACCATTTTTTCTACCAGGCTGTAAACACGTTTACTTTTGCTGTAAAGTTTGGTATTTTAACATGAGGGAACACTGACTCACTCTTGGAGCCAGCCTCAAGTGGCCATTTGAGGAACTGCAGTTTTTGGCACTTCAATGTTGGCTTCATTTTTCAAACCCAGAGGTTGTCACTTGGAAAGGACTGATTTCACCAGGAAATTTAACCGGTTTAAAAGCTGATGTAAGCAGGTCTTAAGGCTAATAATATTCGATTATTTTCATATTGTCAACAAATCCCATTAGAAGACTAAAATCAACGGTGAACTGATCCAACTAACGAGTACTGTCTGTGTATCAAAACCTGAGCCCAACTGTTGTCCAAAAACTGTTAAAAACACATCAGTGAGCCACACTGTCACACTGGGTGACATGTTCCTTCATTACCATGAACACACACACACTGAAGTTAATGTTGACTCAAACCATCATACACCATCCTGCTGCTGTAAATGCTCACTAACGCACCAAATGTGTATTCATCCGCAGCTGAAAATAGTCCCTGAAAAATACAATGTTTACTCCTGTTTGAGTAACGTGTGCTTAAAACTAAAGTGCCCAGCTGTTTTAAGACATCACTGAGCCGTTTATAGAAAATGAAACTTAAAATGTTTGACCAGCGTTGGAAGAATTATGTTCTCAGTAGTAAAATATGGGCTTCTGGTTGAGAGCCACAAACAGTGAAGAGAAGTCAGAGACGGACTATCATACTGCTGGTTTTGGTATTTTCCATGGGATTTGTTACAGAATAACACCAGCATTATCCTTTAACAAGCAGTGATGCTTGAACCAGATCTTTCTCAGTATGTTGCAAAATTGTTCACACAGTAGTAGTGATGTGTGGATGTGTGTGTGTGTGTGCATGTGTGCTATCCCTGTGTTTGTCAAACTGTAAGAGTGTTTGTGGGAGAAACTCAGAAGTATGTGAACTCTCACTCAGTCATACACACCACGGATTGCAGATAAATGAGCTGGACATGAGTCACATCTCCCCTCACCCTGCCGACAACCTGTTTCTGTCAGTCTCACACCGTGTGTGTGTGTGTGTGTGTGTGTGTGTGTTTGGGTGAGAGAGAAAGCGGGAGTTTGTAATAAGGAAAAAGAAACTTAAAGGTTGTATTTATGCACACATGCTTGAGTTTAGTAAAATGTTTGTGTTGTTAAAAGTTCATTTCTTTGATGCTTCTGACTATATTTGTGCATGAATGTGTGTGTGACCGTGTGAGTGTAGGTGTGTGTGTGTGTTTTCATCTGATCCATCTTCATGACACTGGCGGGATTAGAGCCCTCCATCAGTCTCTTGTGTCTGACAGCGTGACCCCCTGTGACCCCACGTTCACCTGGGTCTTACTGGACTGTGGGAGCCTCTTATCTCTGCTACTGTCCCGGGGATGAGTGGGGGGCGAATATGAGAAGGAGGGATGAGGGAAAAGGAGCGTGAAAAAGGGAAGAAAAAGACAGAGAAGCAAAGATATTAATTAAAATGGAAACAGGCAATTTTTCATCTTTTCCCCCCCTAGTGTTTCCAAGTGGCATTATTGATAGCGCTGCTGTCGCAAAGACAACTGAATCACTTCCTCAGAGCCTAGCAACTAACAACAACACAGCACACACTGCATTTTGTTTTCCACAGATACTTCGGTTGTTTCACCATCCGCTTTTTCCGCTACTGGGGATGGTAACTGCAAAGAACTTTTTGGTAACTGGGGATAGCTACCGATAGCTGCCAGGGAAAACAAAAGCGCTGTCCTCTTCCTGTTTTGGTTGCGCAACGGTTGACGCACGTTCTTTGTACCCTAAATCAAGTCTTCATTATCCCGTGAGATCTTAGCAAGCGCAGATAGAATTGCACAGTGAAAGCGCGGCTTACGGGAAACCAGTTCAAACACAGATGCTGTCATTAGTCTATAACATTGTGCAATCAACTTCATAGTGATGAGTTAAAGCTAAAACATTTGTCTATATCCACCTAAAATGCCACATTATAAACACACAA